TAAACCAGGGCCACAGAGATAGCAGCAAAGCTATTTAAATAGATCCCTTGAGCGCACGTTTTTAAACTTCTACTTTTGGATAATTCATTTTACATAAAAGTTTTCACTCCCAAGAATGTTTCTCTTGCCATCTAGCATACGAATGGTCGTGTCTCAATACCTAGTTAGGAACAAGTTTGTAAATGTAATGTGAGTTTAAGTCCAATACGATTAAATATGGCATCAAATCCAGGGTAAGAGATACAGCACAGTCAGAAAGCACCTCGGCTTTTCTTCTGTTATTTGTCTTGAGAGATAGCAAATGTGTGAGTGGAGGAGGGGCAGAGAGAGGGGTAGAAAGAGAGAATCCCGAGCAGACTCTGCACTGTCTGCATGGAGCCTGACATGGGGCTCCATCTTATGAACTGTGAACCGAAATCCAGAGTCAGATGCTGAACTGAGTCACTCAGACGCCCCCCACACCTCTGTCTTTATTCTTGGGGTCATCAGCCCCTTGGGATTACTCCTAAAAGTGACCACTTCATTCATACAGTAATTGTGCTCTGCTGTCTGGCTTTCTAGTAACCATTATCACTTCACAAGGTAGATCTCGAAAGGAGCCCGGCAGATTGCTGCTTTACTTGGACCACGCCAGGCTCCCCTGGGTCCTTCCCTAAGATGCCGGTCATGAGAATTCTGAAGCGAGGGCTTTACTTGGGTTTATGAATTTGGCTTTGTCCAAAGCCAGATCTGGCAAGGAGGGAGAATACTTTGTGCTGATATGAGCCACCTTCGTTGTAGATTAACTTACTTGTGTTGCGTAGGAAGCGAAAGCCATCAGTTGGGAACTCGTCATTCATTCTGATACCAAACATACGTGCTTACGTACAGCACAGTCCATCCTGCTCCGTCATGGTATAGAGCCCTCCCTCGTCCATTTGAGAAGTAAGACCTTCTCTGTCCCTGGACCCCAACCCCTCCTGCCTCCTCGGGGCTCCTGCACTAGCGGCTGAGCCTTATCCTTGCCTACGTAGGCAGCTTCTCACCAGCACCACCTCCTCTGGATTCTTTCCAGGAAACAGTATAAACCTTCATTCACAGCCCCCTTCACCCGCACCTCTCTTGCCCAGCCAGGCTTCGGGAAGAATCAGCCATACTGGTCCGTTTTCTCACCTCCGTTCTCAACCCACTGCAGCCTGGCTCCCGCCCCCCGCACTCCCCGAAAGAGCTCTAGGCGAGGTTGCTAACCTGTAGGTGGTTTTCCGGCTTCACCTGGCCTCTCTGCACACCCTTTGTTGGCCGGGCGCATCTTCCCACCTCGCTTCCAGGATGCGACATCCTGGGTCTTCTCTCGCCTGCGTGCGTTGCCTTCCTCTCACCCCTGGCGGGTTCGTCTTGCTCAGTCTGAGCCGTGAATAGTGGGATTCTGCAAGGTGCCAGCCTACGCCCTCTCGCCTTCTCAGGACATGCCCCGTCATACCCCTGGCTTCGAATATTCTCCATATCGCAGACCAGCCACAGATCACTCTCACTGGCCCAGGACTGTCCTCTCCACTGAGCCCAGTGCATGCCACTGCCTGCTGGACCTCGCTGGATGGCACAAAAGCATTCTGACTCAGCAGATCCAAACTCAGACACATGGTTCCCTTCCACCCTTCCTCACCTCCTCCGGAAGGCCCTGCTTCCCTTCCCGTGTTCCTGTCTCGGTGAATGGCATTACCATCCATCCAGTTGTGTGAGTCAGGAAACATAAGACAGACAGACAGACAGACAGACAGATCTTGCCCCCATACACCTGCTTCTCTCCCCACCCTGTCTGTCCTTCTATGCTCCGTCTCCATGGAGTGTCGACTTGGCTTCCTGAGAACAAGCACCTCAGCCGCCACAGCCTGGCCTGGGGGCCCATTCCCCCCCCCCACACCATATGTCCGGTAGCCTCGTAGGGCCTCTTCCCAAACTGCCTCTTGTACCCCCACCCCCCAGGCCATTCTCCGTACGACAACCAAGGACATTTGTTGTAAATCTGAAATGTTCACTCACCCTGTCCATCACCAACTTTTTTACCTAAAAAGGTAGACTCTTCGTGGCTCCATGTTGCTCCTTGCAAAAAGATCAGAACCCTGAACACAGCTTCTCTGGGCCACACGGCCTCACCCCTCTCACCCCTGCCTGTTTCCCACATTCCTTCTTCCCCTCGCTCTCCACTCCGGCAACTGGCTTCCTCTGCTCTTCAGATCAGGACACGATGCCACTTCCCCTGGGACACCCCCCTGCCCCCCGTCCTGACCTAATCTGGTCAGTGTCCCAGTGCCTCTTTTTAGAAGCTCTTATCACAGTTACATTTCATGCTTCTTTCCGCGACTATGTGATTAATGACGGCCCCCCCCAGAGGCAAGGTCTTGATCTGTCTTTACTCGTCCAGCGCCGAACTTAGAACCTGGCACAGAGCTGGTCCTCAATAAATAATGAGTAAACGGATTTACATTTGGATGTGGCTGAGTATATAGCGTTTGCTTCTAAGAGCCATTTCTGCACACAGTAAGCATTAAATCAGCCTTAGCCTATTAAATTGCTATATATTATTTGCAGGGAAAAGAACATAGGCCAAGTAGAGTCCAGTTTCTTGTCCAGGGGAAGTCAGTTGAGAGCCGAGCCAGAGCTAGAGCCCCGATCCTCTGCCTCCTGAGCTGTTTAGTGCTTTATCCCCACAAAGCCACAGGATCATCTTCCTCCCCACTCTCATTTTACTTTATAGTTTATAGAGCAAGAGCATGTGCAGAGGAGGGGCACAGAGCAAGGGAAAGAGAATCCCAAGCAGGCTCTACGCACTGTCAGCCTGGAACCCAGTGCGGGGCTCGATCCCACAAACCGTGAGATCATGACCTGAGCCACAGTCAAGAGTCAGACGCTCAACAGAGTGAGCCACCCAAGCGTCTGCCAGTCTCATTTTCAAAGCCAAGACAGCTAATTATAGCACATGTCTTTCGGGAGGGCTTAGCTGCATTTTATAGCTATGATTAGCCTTGATGTTGTCAGACCCGTTCAAGGAAATGGAACATGAATACGGGTCCTCATTTGAAAGCACGTGTCTTTGACTTTAAGGTCGCCTGGTTAACACAATTGGCCCTGCTTGCAGTTTCTGCATAGTTTTGTCCCCTCCAAACACGACCCAAAAGAAACACAAAAAATGAAAAAGCCACCACAGAACCAGGTGACGGGGCTGGCAGCAGAAATCGAGGGGCTTCTCAGCACAAGCCAGTGACGGAACATTCTGCAGACACTTCCGGGCATGAGGTTCTAACACAATTGGTCTGATTTCTGGGATGCAGCCTCCATCTGGAATCTGGAGCTGGTTCAAAACATACTGACCCCGAGCCTGGGTTCTACTAAACGGCCCCATAAAGATGGCCACACACCCCCACGGGTGAAGCAAGGATTCTGGGGGAGGAGAATTCTGTGCAAAGGTGAGGCAAGGCCTCTGAGAGGCTCATTCCGAGTGGGGTCTGCATTCCAGACCGATGACATAGTTTCCTCCACAATCTGCGAGTGCTATTTTAGGAAAGACTTCGAGACTGCAGAGTCCAGTGTTAGAGTCTCCAATATTGTAGATTTCCAAATAGACAGCTGGTCCTTATCAGTGGGAATAAATAGTGCCTTCATGGGACACTTCGAAGAGAAAATGACTAACGAACATGATGATGTTCTTATAAACTTAACACCACTTTGGAATACCATTTCTAGCAGTTTCCAGCGTGCCGGAGATTCTACAGCCAGCCAGCTGGCTAGAAGTCCTTTCTCTAGTCTCAAAGCCCATTCTCTGCCTTTAACATATACGGTAATGGCATTGGAGTTTCACAGAATCCATTGCTTGGCCCGGGGCAATGACGAGAATTGCTGGTGACATCAAGCATTGAATTTGAGCTGTTTGCACTTGCTAACTCCACGGACTTTAGATTTTCACGTTGGGTCTCTCTGGAGATTCTGTGGTATAAATACCTTGCCAGCTAGAGATGCTGGTTGCCGATATTTGGAGAGGAAGGACAGCTTCTCTCTACCAGGAGAGCGCCACTTTCTACCCCATAGGCCCCAGTGCAGGACTCCAAGGAGCCTCAGCCTCCTTCTACAATTTTCTCATCTCACACACACCTCACCCCATGGGTGAAGCGGGAAGCTGAACTCCACTGGGTGGTTGAATAACTTCCAAGAGCTTCAAAAACAACAAACAAACAAACAAAAACCCGCATCTCTGTGAATGGTGAGGCCCACCATGTGTGTGGCTCATTCCTGGAACTTCCTACGCCCATCCCAGCTTATGTAGCTCACCCCCGTGGTGCCCTTCCCACTTTCTGGTGCCTTCTGTTACCTCGTGAGGCCACTGTGGTCTGTCCCCGCCCTCCACTGTTGCATCATGGCCGGGTTCATGCCCCGGCTGGGATGTCCCCCTTGTTAGGGCTCAATTATGTGCGCCAGGAGAGTCGTGTCTGTTCCTGCTCGTTTGTCGTCTCAGGCGGCTCTGGTGGTGATGGGTGGAGACAAGAAGCAGAGCCTCTATTGTTCTTTGCAGACAAGACATGCTCTCTTGTGTCTCCCAGGGCCATGACCCTCTTTATGGTCTAACTGGATCTGCACAAATGTGGCGAGAAGCGAGCTCTAGCCCGGGGGGGTTGGGGAAGAACTGCAGAGGCCACAGTCCAAAGTTAGGAGGCCACAGGAGAGAAAGGGACCTCTGTGAAGAGAAGAGTCCACTGGCCCGGAGGCCCCAGAGGAGGGCGGGGGAGGGGCCGGTGACGGGAGGAAGGAGGAGGGTCAGCTTGGCGTGACGTGACGCACGGTGCCTTTCCTGGGGTTGAAATTGAGGAACTGAGGAGGAGGTAGTAGTAAGAGCCGGTCCTTCAGGGCACAGGATGGAACGGGACCTCCGGCCGCTGGCTCTGTCTCATGCATCTACGAGGGCTGGAGAGATTAATGACCCAAGGAGGATATGATATGGTCCAAAAACTTTTCCTGGATTTTTTCCGTAGGCGGCTGAGCCAGAGGCCGACTGCGGAGGAATTGGAGCAGAGGAATATTCTGAAACGTAAGTGACTAAGCCCGTGGTGGTCGCCGTTGTCTCGTGGTGGCTTTGGTTATTCGTTAATCTGTAGGCCCCAAGCTTTGTGTCTCATGGCCGTGTTGTCCCTCGTGGCCGTGTGGGAATGACTGAGAACCGCTCTGTCAGTAGATGCTCGATCCTTGCACGTTAGAACAGCCCAGGCAGCCTCCCCACAGAGGAGGCAGATTCAAGTCCACTTGGCTCATGGCAAGCTCACGGGCTGCAAGGGCCACCTTCCCTCTCGTGAGCTGGACAGTCAGAGAAGCTGACTCACTAAATGATGAGGGTGAGGGTCACCTTCCAACCCGAATGGGCTTAGGACCCACACATTTCTGTGTGGATGGCTCAAAGGAGGCAGGCGGCCGCTGGAAGACCAGGGCTCCAAACCATGACCTTCCGTTGCAGCTGGCTCCGCCCCTCCCCCACCCCCCCCAACATGAAATGTAAAGTCGGGGAAAGCGTTTCTGAAGGCAACTGCTCCCTGTCATCTCTTAGGACTCCTACATCTGGCCCACGGCCCGCCTGCCAAATGCTGAGACCCAAGAGAAACTCGCCGTCACTCTGGCTGTGGCCAGAGAGCGTGAACGAGCCCCTTGTTTGGTTCGGGACACAGCGATGCTTGAATAGAGAGGGAACCCACTGGGTGCCCCACCGGTGTAAAAGGAAAACAGCAGGCATCTCAGGGATGCCGGCGATCCTGCATTTGGTGGGAGATATTAAATAAAAAACAAAACTCCTCTGCCCACATCTGCCCCACCTGTAGTACTGTCCTCAACAGCTTGCTAAGGTGGTCAACAGATATTATTTTTAGTTTCATTCATGACCCTTTCTCCCCATGCACACGTCTGCCTCTAATTTCTAGAAAGGAGAAATCCGTGCAATTGCAGTTTCCTAGGACTGTCATGCCATGTGCATACATGCACGTGCTCACACACACACACACACACACACACACACACGCCAGTCACGTGAAGCCTGTTTGAGCAGCTGGATATTTACACTTAGACCAAACTAAAATGTTCTTGATCTTTTCTACCCTCCCCCCTCCACTGTGGTCTTTGGACCCGGTCGAGGGCTGTCGGGGCAGGTCCCTGCCATCTGTGGACTTCCTGCCCCCCCACTCCGGGCCGGTGCCGCCTCCCCAGCTCTCAGCAGGCACTGTTTAGAGGGGTGTCCTTCCTTCTCGCAGCCTGCACCTCACATACCCCCCAGGTCTCTGGAAATTTGCATATATGTTTTCCAACCAAGAGTGCCCTTCACGGTTTCGAAGCTTAATATGCTGTAAAATGGATGAGAACTTTCGGAAATGATTCCCGTGGTTGGGGAAGCGTTTGGCCCGTGTGAGATCTCCCTTTCTGCCCCAGTCTGACACTTGATCCATTATAACCTTTCCATTGTTGGCGACCAGGAAAAGCAGGTGTCCATTTATTCCTAAAGTGGGAAGGTGGGTGAGCGTGCGTCCTTCCCACTCTGTTGCTTCACCCCTGCCTCTCCTCCCCCCCACACTCACCCAACACGGATCTGTGTTTCCTGGAGGAAATCAACCTCGGTGCAATTTACCTGCTGTTCAGTGGCCTCCAACCTGCCCCCAGACAAGGAAGCGACAACTCACTAGGGGGTCATTCAGGTCTCCGAAAATAACGCTTCTCTCAGCAAGGGCAAGGGGCTTGGAAAGAGGGGGGTCTAGGATCCCCAGCTCACCTCTGGCTTCCGGAAGGCACCAGCCCCTACTTGCTGGCCCAGATCCCTGGGAGACCGTGGGGAAGGTCCTCTCGTTGGGCTTTTCTTGTGATCTAGAAAGATCCTGAGAGCTCAGAGACCATTGCTTTCGACTCGTAAAGCCTCAGGGGGTTAGATTCAGGGACCAAAGCAGAAAACATCGTTCACGTGGTCGCCTTCTGTTCTAGTCCCTTCTTCCCCCTCCCCCTCTGATAGCGCATGAAAGCACTGCCTGACCAAATTCAAACAGGTCAATCATTTCGGTTTTCAAAACTTTTCAGAAATGAACTTCTCCTTCCTGTTAACTCTTTATTTTTTCCCCTGTATTCTGGAACTTGGTTTTCCAAAACATGTTTTGCTTTTTTTTTTTTTTAAAGTCTCTTCTGATTGTTAATCAAGAGATGTTTTAGTGGTGTAAGAAAACACTCAAACAAATTCTTCTCGACCTTCTTTTCTGGGGTTTAAGTCATTTGAGGAACCAGATCGCTGAGGGTGCTGTTGAGACACAGGTGGAGGAGTCTCTGTGGCTGCTGCCCAGCCCCACCCTCCACCCGCCCCCCTGTCACCCTGGGTCGCACTGCTGGCTTTATCCTGCAGCCACAGCCAATGAGACACCGTGCACATTTGAGCACATAATGAGCACCCTCTGATGGTGGCAGCGGGCGATGACATCATGGCCTTTTCCAGCCTCTCTTTCCAGTGGCCTAACGGGGTTGTCTTGGTACCCTCAGCCTGAGAATTCATGGCCTTCGGTTTGTAAATGGCTTTGAACTAAAGGTATAGATTCCATAGGTGGTAGCTTGTGGCCCTGCCCCTCAGGGGGACCTAAGAAACACACAAAGGAGAGGAAGGCTCCTTGTTCTGTCACAGAATCCCGACCTTCGTGACTTGCGGGGGAGCTTGTAGGACCAGGAGGGGGCCCGGATTGGAGTTTGAGGCCAGTACCCAGTAATGAGAAGGAGGGGCCGGCCCCAAGCAAAGCCTGACAGGGGGAAGAGGCAGCTTGTTCTAGCAAGAAAAAAAAAAAGCTAGACTCTTTGTCTAAGTAACTAGCCGCGTAGCGTGGGACTAGCCACTTCACTCCCCTGGGCTTTCGCATCCTCATTTCCAAACTAAGAGTGGTAGACTTGGTGGTCTCCTGGGCCCCTCGTGGCCCTACTTTGCTGCGAGCCTAGACATTTTAACCAGGTGCCCTTGAGCCACTTCCTCAGTACTTACTCTCCAGACCAGCCCTCCCCTTCCGTCATCCTGCTACCTGCAAACGCAGCTTGTCCGCGGTCTCCCTTCTTGCTTTCTGCCTTCCAATTTATCTCAGATAGATTAGTTCATACTAAGGTGTTAATGGCTGACTGGTTTCATGGGTTTTAATCCAAGAGAAGCTTGCATATTTTTTAAATTTTTTTTAATATTTTTGAGAGAGAAAGAGAGAGAGCGAGCGGGGGAGGAGCAGAGAGAGAGGGAGACACAGAATCCAAAGCAGACTCCAGGCTCTGAGCTGTCAGCACAGAGCCTGACGCAGGGCTCGAAGCCATGAACCGTGAGATCATGACCTGAGCCAAAGTCGGGTGCTGAACTGACTGAGCCACTCAGGCGCCCCTAGAAACTTGCCTTTTTAGAGGAGATGGCATTATCTTTAAATGCAAAGGAAAGGGCTCTCATGTGGGGGCCGGGGCCATGTGGGACATGCTGCAGTGGCCACCACAGCATGTGAGCATCTCTGTGCCCCCTTACCAGATCCTGAAAGCTCCCCCCCTACCCCGCAGGCAGTCACAGCAGGCAGGTTGTGCCCCTGGGGGTGTCGCTCAAGGGTCTGAGCTCTGCTCTGAAGTGCCATTGTCCCTTCCAGCCGGAAGTGTGTGTCACCTCTGGTGGTGGTTGCTGCTGCCAGGGCCGGCGAGGAGGACCCCGCTTACGTGCACAGGGGCTTCCCTCTTTTACTGACCCGGCCAGTCATGAGCCAACTGAATTCCAAGTGTGCGCTGAGCTCTGTCACTGAAACGTAATGTAGCCACAGCGATTTGATGCCAAGACCGAGTTGAAGGAGGTCGCTTTCACTGATGCCGTTCTGAATTCAGTGGGTGAGGATCAGAGACCTTCTTTGGACACGGTTTGGTTTCTGTGGCCTTCAAGGTAGACGACATTAGACTTATACCCTTGCCTCTCTTCCAAGGCCCGGCAGGAAAGTGATGCACCCAAGGTGCATCACCCTTTGCTTAACATAAGCCCGCGCTCTCTGCCCTCCACACCTCTGCTCCCTTCCCCAGACCCTGTTGCCTACGGCTCTTTAAACACCTGATGAGTAAGTCATCCCACATATTAAGCCAAGAACGTTTAGGCTCTGAAGTCTTCTCTCCTAAGACACTCCTTGAAAGTCTAAATGCAGGCAATTGTGTCCCACACTCTGGCCTCACACCTGCTATGTGGACTTCTTGGAAGATTCAAAGAATTAATGGAAGCAGGGTTTGCGAAAGGTGAGCGTTTTGAAATTCCTCTCCGTCCGACCGGTGCTGCGTTCGGCGTCAGCCGTGCCTTGTTTCATCCCTGCAGCAGGTGGCCGCCACCCGCGCGGGCTGGTCTTCCGTTCTGTCCCCACAGAGCGCCAGCCACGAGGCCACCTCACAGGGAGCCCCCGTCAGCCGCTGCGAGGCCCGAGGCAGAGCTGAGTGGGCCCGAGGACACCCTGGTCCCCTGCTCACCGCGCCCTCACTCGGTCGGGACCTGCCTCCCTGTAGGCACACTTCCCAGCCCCGCGTTTCTGCCTAGAGACCTGAAAACCCCTGAGACACAGAAAGCGAGGTCAGGTCAGCCAGTCTGAGACACGGCAGGCAGTTTGGAAAGTGTCCCCCGGGCAGGAGGGTGGCCGGGGTAGGGGGACAGGAGCTCGCTCTCCCCTGGTTCAGATCGTGACGGGCTTGGCCTGGAGCCTGCCAGGGCTCAGAGCCGACACCTGTGTGTGCCAGTGTTTCCCCGAGTCAAAAGCATGTTCTGTGTTTCTTGCAGCTCGGAATGAACAGGAGGAACAGGAAGAGAAAAGAGAAATCAAGAGGAGGTTAACTCGAAAGGTGAGCGCCTTCTCCGGGGGGGGGGGGGGGGGGGGGGGGGGGGGGGGGGGGGGGGGGGGGGGGGGGGGG